TTTTTTTTTCTTTTTTTGGTCGGGTAGGCGTTTTCTGCTAGCGTAACTAGAATAGCTGTTTTTTTGATTGAATGATCAAAGTTTAGATGTAAATATTGTGCTATTTATCAACAAAAGAACTCTATTAATCCATAGCAACATGTTTCAGGCATATTATGATTGATTATGAAATCATCTATGTGATTCATTATATGTTATCCGCTATTCTTACGGTGATCATATATAAATGACTTTCCGAGAGATTAATATTTATCACAGTTTTTGTTGATAGCATTTTATATTGAATCGTAAGAAAGACAATGTCCACATAAGTCTATTTATCGAGTTTTCTGTGAATAAACAGTTCTTGTTAATAAAAATCAGAATCAAAACAAATAGTTGATATAAAAAACTCAACGACAATAAGTTATTAAAAGAGTGAAAAAAATATCAATAACTTCGTTGAAAGACTATAATTGATTGCTATTCAAACAATATATATTGTCTAATCTTTCGAATTTCTCGCCTTTCAAAACTCAACGAGATTTCGGCAGACTATACTGACCAATTCTAAAAATTTCTAAAATCAATTAAATTTTAATAGAATACAGTAGCAAACTCTACACCTTCCTATATTTTATTTAGATTTGCATAGAAAGACGTGGCGAACTCTACATCTTCCTAAATTTTAGTTAGATTTGCATTGAAAAAAGTGGCGAACTCTACATCTTCCTATATTTTATTTAGATTTGCATTGAAAAAAGTGGCGAACTCTACATCTTCCTAAATTCAATACACTTTGTATTGAAAATAGTGGCGAACTCTACATCTTCCTATATTTTATTTAGATTTGCATAGAAAAACGTGGCGAACTCTACATCTTCCTAAATTTTAGTTAGATTTGCATTGAAAAAAGTGGCGAACTCTACATCTTCCTAAGTTTTAATTAGATTTGCATTAAAAAAAGTGGCGAACTCTACATCTTCCTAAACTGAGTTAAATTTCAATTAAAGTTGAATATAACTTAACTTAAATTTATAGGATCAACTATTTATTTTTATGTTTTTTAACTTTTTTAAAATTTCAAGTCTTTTAATAGCTTTGTTTAATTTTGCCTAAATCTCAATTTTGCCTGACACATACCCAGGTTGACGATTACGGACTTCGTATACGACTGTAAACGACCGTACACGACCTCGATACGATCGTTTACGGTCGTATTTTACCGTAATACATGGCTCAGTATTACGATCGTATATCGCCGTGACCGTATACGCTGTGATACGATCGTTTACGGAGAAATACGGAGTAAAACGATCACCGTATATGGACTGCGTATACGAAAATCGTAAACGACCGTATTTTTCTCCGTATATCGCCGTATTACTCCGTATACGACGCGGAGATTTACGATCGTAATACTGAGCCATGTATTTGGTCGTATTTCTCCGTGTACGACCGTTTACGACCGTGCTTGTTCGACCTGGGTATACAAACATTTGTTTTTTTTCTCAACTGTTCGAAAATAAATGAATGTCAACCGTTGACTAATGAAATCATAATTATCTATATGAATGATGATAGATTAAACAAAAATCAACGTTTCAATTAGACGACTATTGTCAAAAAAAAACAAAAACAAAAAATGAAATTTATATATATAAATGATGCCATCAAATGAATTATAATACATTTATTTAGAGTGTCTGGCATGAATCGTTTCTTACTCGACTCAATTTTATCAAAAATTGAAGATCATTTAATATGTTCATTTTGTCATTATGTACTTATCGAACCAAAAAAGATTTCATGTGGTCATCGATATTGTTTTTCTTGTCTTGAAAAAGTTAAAAAGTATATATTTATTTATTGAATTTTTTTTATTTCTAAATAGTCTTTTTTTTCTTTGTTGAGAACTAAACAACCATCTATATGTGTTGTAAATGATTGTGGTCAAATAATCATGAACGATGAAGTAAATAAAAAAATTAATTTTTAAAAATAAGCAGAAAAAAAAATTTTTTTTAAATTATTCTTTCGTTTAGATTTGTTTCGATTTCGATATAGTAAATGATTTAGTACATTTGAGAAATATTGCTTGTCTTAATCAATCACATGGATGTTTGTGGATAGGAAATTATTTATCATATACAGTAAATTTTCTAGAATAATTTTTAAAAACTAATCATTTATTTATTTATTCTTATCTTTAAAGATTCATTTGCAAATGTGTACATTTGAACATTTTCAATGTCAATATTGTTCAATATCGTTTACTGATCGACTTTTATATAAACAACATTATAGAACTTGTCGAAAAGCTTTAGTTTCATGTCCATACAAGAAGTTCGGCTGTAATGTTGAGGTATAATTTTTCTATTTTTCTCTCAAATAGTAAATATAAATTTTGTTAAATATTAATATAAATTAATATTAATTGAATTAACTAGCCATAAGACTTTAAAGAACAAGATTTTTTTTGTTTTTTTTTTGTTATTTTTACATGAACAACAATAGTAATTGAGTTCAAATTCAATTCTATATATTATTTATTTCAACTAAGAATTTACTGAAATATACTTAAATGAACGTGAAAATATAAAATATCATTGAGAAATCGTTTTCTACTTATATAAGGATAAGTTAATAGTATAATTAAAGTTTTAAATATATGTTTGATCGAATATAGTACTTTGTTTGTTAATGTATTTGAAAACAAATGAAGAAAATTTTTTTTTCAATATTGATCTTTTTGAGTAAGATATGATATTGATAAAAACTATCTATAGCCAGTAGACAATGTGTTTGAAAATCTAGTTTATTCTTTCAAGAATAATTTCATATGCTGAATAACATTTATTTTTTTTAAATGATTAACTAGAAATTGTTAATAAAATTGAAATTAATCTTATTTTTAAATGTTTTTATTTGAAAATTGTATTATCTAATTATAACTCTAACATCATATTTGTTTGATCAGTTAACGTTGAGTATCATCTCAGATAGGCAAAGATTGATTTTAATGCACTAAAATGAGCACTTTTTATGCTAAAAAAATGGTAACGAAAAAAAAAAAAAAAGGATTTTTATTTATTTATTTTTTGTTGATTAGGTAATAATTAGAATGTTGCTGTTTTATTCTTTTTTGATATCTTTTAAACGGTTCAACATAAGTGTCCTCTATATAAGAAAAATTTTTCTTTATGTTTCTAAGAAAAACTCTAAAAAAAAGTCTCTCCTTCTCGTTTTTGTCCTCTTCCAAAAAAAAATCTATTTCATAAAATGAATTTATACATTTTATTTGAGATCATAAACAAGAGAATAATTTCTAGAAAAGTTAGTAGAAATATTCATTTTGTTGAACAAACTCAAATGAATAATAGAAGTGAATGATTTGTTTTCTTGTTGATTTCAATACAAAAGTTATGAGAAATAAGAAATGCTAATGTAGCCATGTTTCAAATAGTACAGTTAATTGTGTAGCATGATTTCAATTTGACTGTCTAAGTTTTTTTAGTTACTTTTGAAATGGTATCATATGATACAAGTAGACGTAGTATAGACCAAGTTACTTCTAAAAACTAAATTGAGTTTCAAATGATTATGCATTAAGTAGCTATTTTTTGCATCATACTATAGACAACATTTGACAAAATTGTGTCTAAATATTTTTTTATTTTTAAAATTTTTTCTAATCATAGCATTTTTGTTTTGTTTTTTAGATTCATCAAGAAGCTCTCGATTATCATATTCTAATGTCATCAGTTAAACATTTACAATTAGTTAATAATTTCATTTCATCTTTTGAAAATCAATCATTAACAACTTGTCTACAATCATTATCTACATTTTCTCATATAACATCGACAACAGAAAATTCAAATATTCAATTGTTAGAAAAAGAAGTTGTTGAACAAGCTAAGATAATTGAAGAATTACATTTAGAAGAAAAATTTCTTCATTCAAATAACAATAAATTTGAACAAATTACACGAAATTTATATGAAAGATTTAATGTAGAATCATCTGAAGATGAATTAAATGAAACACGAAAAGAACATGCATTATCAAGTTTATTTAATTCTAACAATAAAACATATTTATGGTATATTGATCATATTGAAGAATTATTAAAAAATACAAAACAACCTTCTGAACCATTATGTATTACTTCACCTTCATTTAATAGTTCAATATATGATTATAAAGTTATTTTAAAATTATACTTGAATAGTGATCAAATAGCAGAAAATACACATTTATCATTAGATGTAATTGTAATGTGTGATAATAATGATTCATTAATAAAATGGCCATTTTATTATGAAATTATATTATGTTTATTTGATACAAGTTGCAAAAATGAACATGTAATTCATATATTGACGACACCAGATATTGATAATCAATTTAATCAAAAGTCACAAAAGAATGAAAATTTAAATTTTACAATATCAAAATTTTGTCCATTATGGAAATTATTTCATAAAGAATTTGGTTATAGTGATCATGATGCATTGTCAATTATGGCCTTAGTCAATATTGATTTTGATAAAATAGCTATTCGACAATCAGATAATTAAAGTTATTACTTTTCAATAACATGAACTTCTAATATAATAAATAATTAATAATGTTTTTTTTTGTATCCTTATTGATTCATGTCTTTGTATATTAAATAAACAAAAAAAGAATTTACAAATAAACAATATATTGATAATATTTTTGAATCAAAATATTGATTCATTTTAGAAAAATAAATGATGACTGGATTAGGAATGAATATATATATACAGATATTTCTATTCTTTATTAACTAGGACTTATTAAATTGACTTGAATAAATGTTTATAAGACAAAAATAAATAAAAATTTTTGATTCAAATAACATTAAAATCATTAATATTAATAAAGTGACATATGTAAATAAAAATAATTTGTTTTCAATAAAAAAAAATGTTTTCTTCCAAAAAAAAAAAAAATCTTAAATGTATTTACAAACAATTGACAAATGTCATAGAGAAAAAAATATGAAATAGTTATTAATATTTAATGAAAATAATCTATATATATATAAT